GGGGGGGGGGGGAGAAGGGTATCACACCCGGTCATAATTTACTAACCGGGAAAATTATTACCTTTGTCCGCTGACACAAGACCCCTATTACGAGCGGAGTAAATATTTGACCATTTGACGGAAGGCAGAAACTACAGGAAAAAAACGAACCCGAATCCGCCTTGATTATAAAGATATAAATTTAGTCTATATTCTCCTATTATCGTTGGTCCATTTGCATTGATTGAATAACATCTTCGATTTTTACAAATACAGATTTATTTATCTTAATGAGATATCATATATAGAAGATGGATCTTTCAGTGGAACCAGCCTCCAGGTTATGTAAGTAAAATTCCGTTACTGGCGAACCCATTAAAAACGAATACTATTGATATCATTATAGTTTTTCTTTGAGTGGATCACTTGACTGGCTATGCAATTACAATTTCAACCTCGTTTTTATAGCTATATCTACGGAAATAGATTGACAAAAATTACAAGTGAGATGTTCAACGTACATATCGGATCACTTACATATCTGTAAGTAAATAATAATAATAATAATAATAATAATAATAATAATTGTAGTAGTAGTAATGATAATAATAATAATAATTATTATTATTATTTTTATTATTATTAGGCCTATTATTATTATTATTTATTATTCATTTATTATTATTAGTTATTAATATTATTAATTATTAGTTATTATTAATTATTAGTTGTGCATGGCAGAAGTATGAATAATCATTACTTAAAACACCTGTATCGCTAAGCATCGTGTACTAACAGTAGTATATGTTTAGTTCAATTATGTTAGTAATAATAATATTAATATTAATAATAATTATAAAAATAAGAATAACAACAACAAAAACAAAAACAACAACAATAATAATAATAACAACAGTATTTTTAATAATAATGATGATGAGGATGATGATATGAACATATTGCATTTCAAATAATGTTTTATATTTTATTTACTATTTACTCATTTTGAAACAACTGATAATTTAATTAATTTAAGTATTACTTCAATAAAAACAATTTTTGTCTTTTAGTTATATATTTAATAATCCAATTGAAGATATGGAACATGGATCATTGTCCCATCTGGCACCAAATTCAACAGTGTAAGCATCGATCAGCATACACTTTTTAAGTAGGCCTGTATATTTACTGATTAATTGTTACATAATTTAATATTATAGGCTTATACAAAGAGTGATATATAATATAAAAACAGGGATACACCAATATTTTTTTTTCTAATTGGAATTGGAATTTACATAGCGCCTATTACAATCTGATCGAGAATATAAAAGGTGTTGGCACATTTTGTGTAAATATCTCTGCCCCCAAAGGAGTATCCCTAGTGATGCTACTTTACGCGAACAACCAAAACTTTCAATGCCATACCATTCTACCAGGTACCCATTTCTACTATTGGTTGTCAGGAGGCATTTGTCATTTTTTTGGCCTTACTTCAATTATTTAGCCAAGTTTGATTTTTCACTTTTATGTGATCAATGACACCACAGCAAACAATTTTCAGCTTATTGTCCAATTTGTAGATTCGTTTTTCACTCGTGGGGGGCGCTTTAAAAAATGGCGGTTTGTGATATTGGTGCTTATATCTCGGCAACCACTGATGGTAGATCAGATCAAAATGTTCACAATGTATATATTACTATTTGCGCTAATGGAACATTTTGCTGAAAAATGGCCGGAAATGCCATTTCTGGCGATTTGACCTTTGACCTTCTATGCTCATATCTCTGTAAATACTAGTCGTACAGACTTGAAATTAATTTCAAATTGTTCGCAATATGTATATTTATATTTACTTTAATGAATATGTTTGTTCTGAAATGCCAGGAAACGTCATATTTGACCTTTGAAAATAATAAGTTTGCGTTTGTATATTCTATAACTGATAGATACCGTTTCAATTTTAAATAAATACTACATTTCTGTACGATTTATCGGAGGTCCAATGGTTATATTGTTTTATATCAGATCCAATGGTAATACTAAGTTTTGATATAAATTAAGGCCACTCATTGTCCACACACAAAATACAGGTTTGTGATTGGCTGAAAGTACATGCAGACTAGAATACAGGACATTTTCTCATGGTAAGTGTTTGTA